TTTCTTTAAAAAGGGATAGAATTTGAATTAAATATTAAATGATAGGATTTAATTCTGTAATGTTGTAAAACCGGGATTTTAGACTTTTGATTGTTAGTCGGTTTTAAGAAATTATTCATTTTTTTTTGATAGGTTAAATCGGGATTTAAATTTGACTTTATTCATATTTACTTTTGTTTAGTAGGTACCGCGTTGTAATTAAGTTGAGAATATTTATAAACGGAGTTTTCGAGGAGACGTTTTCCCTCTTTTAATAATTTGTTTATTTCTTTTACCGTATATTTGAATAATCTTAAATAGCATCCTGTCCTGGTCTGAACGGGCTCGTGATGACGATCAGTTCACCCTTGGAGTAGGTGCTATCCGCGTTATATTTTTTTTTGAGTTAATCTGTAAACCGCAATTTTTTTAAATAATTTTAAATAGTATCCTGTCCTGTTTGAACGAGCTCGTGATGACGATCAGTTCACTCTTGGAGTAGGTACTATCCGCGTTAGTAAATTTTCTTTCCTCCGATAATAATTTACTTTTTTTTTTTATCGACAATTTAAATAATTTTAAATAGTGTCCTGTCCTTGTCTGAACGGGCTCGTGATGACGATCAGTTCATTCTTGGACTAGGGGCTATCCGCGTTAGATTTCTTTTTCCCCTTTATGTTCTTCATTTTTTTTCGTGCAAACTGCAACTTGCAGAATTTAAAAATAGCTTCATTACCCTGTCTGTAGCGGGCTCGTGATGACGATCAGCTCATTCTGGGATAATAGGCTACCCCGGGTATAAATTTATTTTTATTTTCTTTCCGTGTATTTACTATAAGTAATTATTTCGCGTCCCTGTCTCCTCGCACTCTCTTCGACCGTTTATTTAATTTTTCCTCACGTAAAGTGCAAAAACTACATTTGAGTTTAAATTCCCGATACCGCGGTTAAACAGTTATTTACCGAGTAAATAACCAAATTAATATTTTTTTTCCTGCGATCGAGACATATATTTTACTTTAATTTAATTTGGACGTCTGATTGAGACTAGTCGCGAATTAATACCGTCCGTTTTGTTTTTTTTTATATTTAGGGTTATATTGACTATCACCACAACTGGGGTGGGCGTTGAAATATTTTTTTTTTGTTGTTGTAAATAGTTAACTACAATATATGTGTCAATGTTAACCTGCCGTATTACTGGTTAATAATTCCCTAGTTTATTTCCCCCTTATATTTTCAGCTAGTGATAAATTCTGTACGAGCCCAAGCAACGATTAAAGCCCGTTACTTGTGGCCTACTATTACCTGTGTCTAAGTGACCTTTGACCCCTGGAATTTTTCATCTCCATCTGTAGCTACCCGAGTACTTTCGACGCCGTTTCGAAAGTTTGTGGAGTAAACCATTATCAAAAATCTGGCGCTCGAGAACCGCCCGTAACCAGCGTCATTCGTAAGGAACCGTTTTCTCTGTGGCGAGAAAACCCCTTACAAAGTATATTAAAAGTCGTGACGTCATATTGGCACACATATACGGTAATGTGTTATTGACAATCAGGGAAATGTTTCTAGGTAATAACTACCTAAGATAAGATAAATGAATGTTAAATACCTACTCAATATCTATTGTAGGGTTTTTGTACTTTAATAGGATAAATATTTATGCGGGCCTGGAAATTCCAGGAAATGACAGTCAAAATTACCCAAAAACATTAGGTTAGTACCAACATCAGATAACAGATAACTTCGGTATCTAACCAATTAATCACAATTAATATTCTTGAACATTCAAATGACAAAAACTTCCATCTTTAACCAATGAGAATATAGTTTTCATTCGATACTTCAAAATCACAATTTATTAATTATGTAGAATAGTTTTAAAATATATTGCGAATTGCGACACGTCAAGCGTCCCACTCCGACTCAATGTGACGCAATTATTGTGGCAATATATTTTGAAACGACTCTATATTCGTGACTTGAAATTATAAACATCCCTCGTATTACTACTCGTATATAAACCAAATTATTTGTTTTAGGAAATATTTATATTTAATGTGAGGCAAGATATCGTTTTTGTTGTTACCATCTACATTCTTTACTTTGGTCCAGGAAACAAAGTCAATTTTCGATAAAAATAAAATGTAATAGGTAGGTAATACTTTATGAAACAGTACAATAAAAGTATTGAAATAAAGTATGCTCATACTCCAAAATGAGTCCTAGAGTTAACATTTTTATAATATTATAAATGGCATATAAAACGATTGGACCGTTTTCACAATCGCGAAATATTTTTTTTTATTTGGTAAAATCCCGGCAATTATTGAAAAATAGATTTTATGTTCAGGACTATTATTATGATCCTTCGAACTCAGTCTACTAAAAACCGGTTTATAATACAATATCCCCTAATAGCTAGTCGGTCGATATTTATAGTTACTTAAAGATTTCTGTAATAATTTGCACTAATTCAATCTCTAGTCGGTAGGTAACAGCACCTCCTTGATTGAATCTAAATTGACATAATTTTGTTCAGAAATTCCTAGGAGACGCTGTCCTTAAGCCAGATGTCTTAGTCAAAAGATTGGGAATTTATATCGACACTAAATTGAGATTTAAGGAACAAGTTAGATCCATTGTCCAAAAATGTTATTGCTCTTTAAAAAATCTATATCGAAGCAGATCTTTTTTGAATGAATCTCTAAAAATACAACTCTGTGAGACGTTATAATTAAGTTATAACAATTATGCCGATTTTGTTTATGGGCCATGTTTAGATGTAGACTCGTCGGCGAGGCTACAAAGAATTCAAAACTCGTGCTTTAGGCTCATTTTTACATTAACATCTAGAGATCATGTTTCAAACAAATTGAAAGAATTGGGGTGGCTTAATATCTTTAATAGACGAAAACTTTATATGGCTTCCTTTGTACACAAACTGCTGAGAAATAATAATCCAGTATACCATAGGAAAAAATTGACATTTAGCTAGAATGTTCATAACCGAAATAATAGAAATACTAGCCTTCTTGTTATACCTCAGTCACTATATATAACTCTCTACCTGATCAATGTAAAAATAAATCTCTAGAAATCCTTAAAAAATTACTGAAAAAATTTCTTTTGTTTTAAAGTTTGTGTTTATGTAGTGTTAATTTTCTTATTGCATGTGTCTATATAAAATGTATATTAAATAATTTAAATCTAAATAACAATGTATATTTGTATTATATGAAATGTTTGTATTTGGTACTCCGTTGAGTGGAACAGCTATGCTGGCCTCCGCCGAGGCTTATTAAAATAAAGACGTTTATTATTATTATTACTAATAATTTTTGTATATTACGGACTTATTTTCAAACTTAAAAGTACTAATTTCTCTCAAGATTTTCATTTGAAATGTCATATTTTAATCCTCTCGAAATAAACCAAAAGAAACAGTCTGCGAGTTTTCACTGGCTTTAAAAATACTGTTTTTACGCTGATGTATGACATTTCTCAGGAAAATCTTGAGAGAAATCACCTTCTCTCGAGTTTGAAAATAGCCTCCCAGAAATTGCTGGCTGGTGGAATTATTGTTGTGGCATCTATGTAAGCAAATACAATGGTCTTCTTGAGATATTTGGCATATTGGTAAAAAATGTAAATGTGAGTCGGTGTTGTAAATTAGGTGGTTTTAAGGCACTTATATACTTATCTATGTAATTTAAAAAAGTTTTTATACTTTCATAATTTTTTTAAAGACAACTGCTTTTATAATGAAACTGAAGTAAATTTCTAGAATTTAAGATAAAGATAATATTTATGATTATTTTAAATCAAATTTTTTCCCTAACTGCAGAAAATTAACTAATTTTTAATTCATCTTTACAAAACACTAATATGGTTACAATACTCTCACTCAAAGCACAATTAATATCTCAAATATTTGTGGAATGTTATTTCAGATAATTTTTTCATATAAATATCTATTAGGTTGCTAAAAATACGTTGAGCACAAGCAACCAATGTTTAACTTTTAATAGGTACAATATATTTAGTTTGCAAACGGCATAAAAATAGAAAAAACGTTGAATGAAATCACGATTAGCTGTTTGAAGGATTCGCCAACGCAATATGGCGGAAGTGAACCCGTCTTGGACTACGTGACAGCGTCTCCCTACCTTCTATCTCCATGTCAATATTCAATTTATCTGAGTATATGACAATTCTGATGACAGAATTCCTTTTTTTTTTAAATACCGCGGTTCCGAATCCATGATAAGGATATTCCGAGAGACCCAGGGGTGCCATTATCATGTCAGTTTTAGCACACGGAGCTCTAATTTGAATAAGGAAAAGCAGAAAAAAAATAGACATTGTAGATAAAACGAAGCATTAATAGTATATTATGCAACGATCATGTAATGATGGTTATTAATACACGAGCATTAACCGGGATACGAAACGAGCCAAAGGCGAGTTTCGTATGGTTTATGCGAGTGTTTTAATAACCATTACATGAGAGTTGCATACGCTATTTTTTCTACACCCGATAAATAATCAAGACCTAAAAATATTCTATTTATATTGGCATTGAACACAATAACAGTAATTACTCGTATTTCTATAAAAAATTCTACAAAATTGTAATTAATGGTATTACCTTGGGTATTGGTATTACCACAGATTTTTGGGGCAAAATATTTTGTACTGCATTTTCTCCTTTCTCCGATATGTGTGGAGGAGTCTTCTATATCGCTGATATCAGACATTTTAATATTATAATTATCGAAGTTTAGCTATCTACGAAAATTTAATACGTTTTGACAACTAAAACAATTACATAGGAATTTAGGACAAACGTCAAACATCATGCTTGATTGAAAAATTGTAGGTTTCTATTGATTAAAAATCTGTATCATAATGAAAAATCTGTATCATAATGGGTATCATTATGAAACGGATTATGGGCATATAAGTGCATTATTATAATACGGGTGTAGAAAAAAGCTATTTTAAATTTTAATACTTACCATAAATCGAGCACAATTACGGGATCCGAATTTTGCTTGTCGCTATCTGAATTGTAAAAAATTATCTTCCTACTAGAAACTACCACATATTGTTTTTTCCATCCATGCCGTCTAATATTCTGCTTGGAAGGTATCGAAAGCCAGCCCTCGAATACAGCATCTATTTCATCTCCATCATTATCGGCCGAGCTCAACGAAGCCGTTTCACTATTCATAGACGATAATTTCAAGTGCAATTGTTCCAAGTCTGCATCTTTGCTATCGAGTTCCATCTGGAGACGTTGTTTGGCGGCTATTTCTTCACTTAGTTGAGCCTGCAAATTAAAATGTTGCAATATTACACAAAATTTTAGTTCTATAGTTTTGTATGAGCTCTTAAGTTTTCTATAGGTTCAATTAGTCCTTTTAAGAATACATTATAGATTCTTCAATAAGTTCTATAGGTTATATTAGCTTTGAATAGGTTTCATATGTTCTTTTATGAATACATTAGGACAATAAAGTTAGAACATAAATCGTGATGTAAAGCAATGTAGCACTTTTACAGTCGGTTGCAAGAACGATCGTTAAACTCTCTCATAACTTTATAGACTCCTTAAATTATCTCCTAAATGGTAAAGTTGGCAACGGCGCTTTTCCAAATGACAGTATGAAATAAAGTATGTCAATTATCGAGAAACGTCCCTATCAAGAATTATCTTTATCGACCTCTTTAATAGAACACAGTGCAGGTGAACAAAAACGATATTAAAAATCATAAAAATTTATAAAATGTATGGTGTTTTATTTTTTATTATTAATAAAACGAGATACATTTATAAAAGCTTAAATTACTGCGCAACATTTATTTTCATTAACTATTTAGGTATTAAATCATAGAGGGTATTCAACTGTTTGAATGTGATCATTTTCATAAACAAAAATAAAATACAGGTACTAAAAATCAATACCACAAAAAGTTTTTTATTGTTTAAAATGTTTCGGTTTCGACCCATCAAAATTCTGATGTGTAGAATTTTTTTCTCTGCGTTTCTTTTCTCAGTTGGACATTTAAGAAAAACATATATACCTAGCTAAATTTAAAAAATATAGGGTATGCAAGAAGATTCGTTAGTTAAGGCCTAAAAATTATTGAATACGTATTATTTATTGGACCAATAAATAATAAGTTGTTATAGGGTATGCAAGATGATTCGTTAGTTATGGAAATACACAAAATATTTATTGGACCACTCATAAATATAGTGGACACGTCATGTTTTAAAAATTTAATTTGAAGTTTTTTACATATAAGTTACGTGGGCACATACAGCTGACATTTAAACATATTATATTTATTCTTCTTATATTCCTTTTCAATACTTAGCTTGTACTTCTAATTTTTTGTGTTAATTTCTATGTAGTATTAAGTAGAATTTGTCTAGCTTTCATCAAGTAAAGACGTATACATTTTATTTAATAATTATTATCGACCAAATCCACAATTTAATTCACAATTCAACTCAAATTTTATAAACAATATTTTCCAAATCAAAAAGCAAATCAATCTCAACAACCAAATTCTCAATGGTCACGTCAACCAATAAATGTTCAACCACGTCCTCAACATCGTAATTATCCAACAAATCCACAAGTTTTTGGAGCCCCAAAAAATGTGTTTAAACCTAATTCAATTCCACAGAATGAATTTCCAAAACCCCAACCAATGTCAACCACTTCGAGAATCCCATCAAAGAACTTTTAATCCAAACACCTAATAGTCAGTCCTTGTTCGGATTATCGAATTGTTCGGATTAACGAATATACAATAAAACACCTCTTACACATTTTTAGACCTTTAGATTTATGTATGTATATTGATTTTTGTAGATTTAAATGCATTATTAAACTACATATGTATGTATGTAAATGTAATGCAGGTATTTTCCTGTCAGCGTTCGGATTACAGAGGCGGCGTTCGGACTAACTCGCATCACGATTTGCGTTCGGATTAGCGTAATTCGGATTAGCGTGGGTTCGGATTATCGAGGTTGCATTGTAATAGGTCTACTATTTTTTTCCAAAATAATAATCAAAAGCGTAATTTTATATATGAAGAAATATTAATCGATACCGGTAGCACAAAATCCATTTTAAAGCCCACAGTAGCAGAACAATTTTATCTGAATAGTATTTATCATTCAAATGTATCACTTCTAACCTCTTTGAGTACTAAAAATATTAAATATCATGCAGAAATATCAACTTTCAAGGAATTTAATAACCATATGTTGACTTTTATTCTTTATGAAATCCACGAATTTTTCGGCGGACTCATAGGTATTAAAGACCTTATTGCAATTTGTGCTTAGAGGCCTTGCTGAAGGCACGAATAATACAAGATATTAGCGAAAATCTCGAGGAAGAACATGATATCAAAGCAAGAGATATATTTCAAATGCGAACGAAGGAAAGACCTCTATTTCTAGTTGTCACTAATCCGACACTGGATTATTTAAACAAATATGTTAGGCGTGTACTGTATACAAGGGTAGCTTGGGAGCTACATAAATCATCCAAATTAATAATCCAGTGTCACAACTGCCAACAGTGGAGACACGCTATCGCAAACTGTGGCAGGCCGGCTAGGTGTGCCTTAAATGTGCTGGAGACCACACAAGTACATGTACTAAAACTCTAGAAACGCCAGCGACTTGTGCAAATTGCGGGGGTGAACACCCCGCGAACTACACAAAATGTTCCAGTTATCTTGCCAGACTCGAGAGATTAGAGGCAAGAAGGCCAAAAATACAAAATAAAATTAGTCCCCGCCCCCATACTGGCCTTTAACCAATGGGAGGCTAGAAATCAAAATAGATCTACGAATGCGAGAAAAACAGAAGAATTTCCAGCATTACCGACTAGGAACACGAGAGAAAACACACATAAAGAAATAATAAGAGAAGAAATCCCAAGACAAACCACCCCAGGCGCGGCCATGAACCATTTCTCAACTCTAAATCATGAATTTGCAATTTTAAATCAATTAATTAACATCGGCGAGCTAACTAGGGCGGTACGTGCTCTAAACGCTAAACTAAAACAATGTATTACAGGACAAGAGATAATTGAGACTTACAATGCTTTCATGGACAAAGTAGACATTAACTTCAACTTAAGAAACTAGATTAGTATATACAAGACAGTAAATTCAATAACATACGTCATGTACATTATAACAGGCTTGTACGGGCATTTGTGCTAATGCAGAAGCTTTTTTTCTCAGAGTTTCTTCGATTCTCTGGGAAATTGGTGTGAGTAGTAGTATAAATGGCTGTACAAAGCACACATTACGGACATAAAAGACAGAATACAGGAAAAAATTTACATACAGCCTCCTCAGAAATACAAACCCCACTGAATAGCCAAAATTCTGCCAAATCACTAGGATGACTAGAAAACAACTTCAGTCGGACGGAAGACTGCTCGGTGACGTCATCGCCTGGTACCGAAATTGAGGCCTGCCACGATTTTTGTGTTGAGCGGTGGAGTTATCGTGTAGTCCAGTGTTTTGGCTATCTCATGCACGTACATACATACACTCAAGGACAACCTTGTTTTTTTAATCAGTTTTTCAGGGAAGACAGACAAAAGTAAAATCTGACAAAAACTTACCACTTTACAACTACCGATCTAGTTAGCAGCCATAACTGACTTATAATGCTTTTTAAGTAAGGAGAGGTCACGGAAACCATTAATATTAAATAATAACTTTTAATTACACGGCCAAAACATCGGTCATGGACTCGTCTGAGGTCTTCGCAGTTAGGAATACTTCCTAGACGCAGTTAAGGAGATATCCGCTGCACATATGTTGCTAATTGTTATTAAACCATTTAAATGTACATATTGTAAAATAAAGGAATTATGTAAGTAAGTAGCAAGGGGATATGAATTTCCGGAAAATAATATACAAAATTTTGAAACTTCAAAAATATTTAAAATAGATTTATCTCAAATTAATTCAAAAAACTGGGTTAATCCTGATGCCAGTCAACCACTGCGCGCACACACACATTTCAAAAATTGATAATTTTTATTTACACAAATTATTAGAAAAATATCAGTCTTGTTTTGCGATAAATACATGTGATTTAGGAGATACCGATATTATAGAATTCGAAATTGATTTAACATCCAAAGAACCGATTTTACAAACCATACAGAGTTTCAGAAAAAGAAAAATTAATAATTCGCGAAAAAGTAAACGATTTATTAACAAATAACACAATTAAACAATCAAAATCTAGTTATGCAAGTCCTGCAATTTTAGTGAAAAAAAAAAAAAAGAATGGTGATTACAGAGTGGCTATTGATTATAGAAAACTAAATAAAATCACAATAAAAGATAGATATCCATTGCCAAACATAGAAGATCATATTTCACGGTTAGAAGGTTATAAATATTTTTCTGTGCTGGATATGACCCAAGGATATTACCAAATTCCGGTAGCGGAAAATTCTATAGACAAAACAGATTTTGTTAAAACAGATGGGCAATTTGAGTTTTTGAGAATGCCATTTGGGGTATACAACGCCCCCGCTACATTCCAAAGACTGCTTAATAATGTTTTAGGCCAGCTACGTCACGACAAAGTATTAATATATCTAGAACATTTTAGTACCGAGCTATACAGTACAAGAAGGACTTGACGTTCTGGAAAAAGTCTTTAAAATCTTTCAGGAAGTCAATTTAAAATTAAATATTAAAAAAATGTAAATTTTTTGAAACTTCTATTGAATATTTAGGTTACGAGATTAGTGAAAACGAAATAAAACCTGGCAAACAAAAAAATTAATGCAGTTTTAAATTTTCCGGAACCAAAAAGTGTACATTAGATGAGGCAATTTTTAGGTTTGTGTTCTTATTTTAGAAAATTTGTTAAAAATCATGCAATTATTGTTCATCCTATAAGTTAGTTACTTAAGAAAAATTCAATTTGGGTATGGAGCAATGAGCAGCGAGAAGCTTTTCAAACTATTAAAAATATTCTTACAAATAGACCTTTACTAAGTAGTTTTGATCCTAATTTAAACATCGAGTTTCATACCGACGCGAGTAGCAAAGGTATCGCGGGGATATTAATGCAGAAGCATAGTAATGGGCTTAAACCCGTCATGTATTATAGTATAGCAACAACTAGGGAAGAAAGTGTTTATCATTCATACGAGTTGGAATCATTAGCTGTAATTGAATCAATTAAGCGCCTTCGAATTTACCTAACCGGGTTGCACATTAAAATTATTACAGATTGAAGTGCTGTACGTCTGACCTTTAGTAAAAAATACCTTTTACCTCGCGTAGCACGTTGGTGGTTAACCATACAAGATTACGATTTAGAAATAGAACACAAGCCAAGGAAAAAAAATGACACACGCAGACGCCATCAGCCGAAACGTTAGTGAATTAATAGCTATTCGGAATAGAATACACCAAAATAATCCCGAATTAACAAAAAGACTATCGTATTTATAGAAAAACGGCCGATGGAGGTAATAAGCTTGTCATTCAAAAATTGCTAGATTTAGTTTAATGAGAAAATATCGTGATGATATCGGCCACATAGGCCTTAATAAATGCGAAAAATGAATTAAAAGCAAATTTTGGCTTCAAGGAATGTCAATGCATGTCTTGATTGTGCATTTAAACACAATAAATATGGTAAAAAAGAAGGCTACCTTTTTCCGTTACAAAAACCTACAAAACCGCTTGACACTTGGCATACAGACCACTTGGGAGCATTTTGCAAAAGTTCAGGGTTTTCATATATTTTAGTAGAAATATATTTTTGCAAGACCCACTAAATCTACAAATTCAAAAGAAGTGGTTCATAATTTAAAAGATTAATTTAGTATGTTTGGGGTTCCAAAAAGAATAATATCAGATCAAGGTAAAGCATTTAAGTCAAAACAGTTTAGTAATTTTTGTATTGAATTTAAAATTAAGCACGTCTTAAACACCACAGCATCCCCCAGATCAAATGGACAAGTAGAACGGTACAATCGTACACTACTGGAAGCTATTAACACAAGCATAAATGATGAACACAAATGGTACGAAAAATTGCCGCAAGTTGTTCTTGGTATTAATAACACCGAAAACACCAGCACGCGATTTACGCCCCATAGGCTCATGTTTGGCTTTGACAAAAATATTCAAGCCGACATGGACGATGGGAAAATCGATGAAATAGATAGGGTTGATGATCAAGTTAACGCGATAACGTCAATGGACAAACAAAGTCAAAAAATGAAAAAGTATTTCGACGCGAAAAGAAAAAAAAAGCAAAACCTATAAACCTAATGAATTGGTCCTCTGGTCGGAAGGTAGCGCAAAAAAAAATAAAGAAACTAATAGAAAAACTGGGATGCGATTCGGCGGACCCTATAAAATAAATAAAGTCCTGGGCAATGATAGGTATGAAATAGTGGCAATGAAAGGCATTAAAGGTTATAAAAAGTATGTCTGCAGAACAACTTAAAATTATTTCATTAATAACACAAGTTATTTAACAAAAATGGCATTTATTCTGATCAAAATTAATCAACTTCACTATTTCGAGTTTGACATATGACGTAAAAGTGTAATGCAAAGGTGCGGACACTTTAGCATTCTATCTCAACGAAAAGCAGGTTTCACTGGGCGAAGTTTTCTCTATATCTAATACATGCAATGTTTTGTCTCAATTTGTAGTACTCAGTTATAAGTTGTAAACATAGCGTCAGAGGCAGAGTATTGCATTAAAGTACTCATGAATAATTCAAAATGAGTAATTTCGCAAAGTACTCATAATAAGTACCTAAGTATGAGTACTTATTTATATGAGTAATACTTAAAACAAATGACTATTTTTACAAATTTTAGACAGTACTCCTGAAAAAATCGAGTATGTTAAATGATTCTAGTTAGTGACTAAAAATGTTATAAATATGTCTTATAATCATGAATTCTTCATTAGCAGTGTCCATTGCAACCGCTATAGCAACCCACTTTTCGTAGTCCTAATTAAATATGGGTGACCAATCTTTAAAACGATATATCATTGGTCATATTGCGGCAAATTCACCCTGTTGCCAGATCTACGACGTTCAATAGCTATCGAGGATCAAACTGAATTTTTAATGGATTAATAGCGTTAATGAGTCTATAAATATTTAACAATTGTTCTTGCAACTGGCTGTTAAAATACATGATAGATTTGTGGTTTATGCGAGTTAATATACCTACAACTTCAAAAGTTAAGATATGACTAGCTTTAGTAGCCCCAATCATCGATAAATAAAACTTATTCACTTTAGTCTGTAACTTTAAAAGGATTATGAAATCAGATCAGATCTAGATTCATAAATATTGATAAAAAAATAAAAGTAAAATTTGACTCTATTTCTGCAATAAATTCTAGTGATGAGCATTATTTTACATTATGTGTATAAAATGTACTATTTTTAATGTTCTTTAGGTAATATATTCTCTTTTGACTTTGATTAACTAAAATATATATACGTACACTCAATTCCTGTATATTCTTTTGATAAGTTGCTATCATTTGATTGTACTTTTCTTTCTCCAAACTAAGTTCCTGTTGCAATTTCTTTAAATCTTTTTCTTTTCGTCTTAGATCCGCATTAGACACTTTGGATTTGCCCTTTCCGGATTCCCTGATATCCTTTCTATTCATAATTTCATGTAACTTATTGACAGCTTGTTGTTTAAGAAGACTTTCAGTATTCAATTTGCTAACCTAATAAATAAATACAAAATTATAATTAATTTATTAACAACATGTTTTTTAGAACGTACCAATTTTTCTATATCTTCGTTATTACCACTCTTTCTAGTTAACTCGTCTTGTACTTGCTTGCACTGTCTATTTAATTCTTCCTTTTCTTTTTGAAGTTGTTCATTCGCCTTTTTAAATTCTAATTCTCTATCTTTAAAGGTATTTATTATTACTTCTTTGCTGTTCGATTCAGTTCTATGCTTAGCCAGCAGGTCTTTCAGTTCTAATTCTTTCATTGTTTTTTCCTTTTCCAAATCCGCCACCGTTTCCTCAGCTATAGATCTACAAATACAAAATTATTATTTAAAATATAAAGAATATTTTCGAAATTATTATTTCAAACTTTATAAATACCTTGCTAAAGCTTCAGAGTCGGCTCTGGCTAGGGCTAATTGACACTGGTGCTTCAAGGACACTCTTTCTTCCTCAAATTCTTTATTAATTCTATTCTTTTCGTCGATTTCTTCCTTTAATTCTATCGTTTGATTTTTATAAAGGGTGTTAAAATACTGTTCGGTTTCTAAATTTTCTTGTAACTCTTTCATTTGAAGTTGATCCCTTTGCCAGTTGCTCTTAATCCTTACTAACTCATCTTCCAAGGTCTTTTTAACATCCTAAAAACAAAAACACAATATTTTTGGTAAAAAAAAAAGAAGAAAATTCTTACCTGTAAATGACTGAGCTCTTGCACCAACTGAGATTCCTTGGCTTTTAACTTATTTAACTCTGAACTTTGTTGACCCATTTCAGATTGCAAAATAGTTTTCTTCTGCTGTTCTTGTTCGACTTGACTATGTAAGGCTTTAACTTTCTCCACTTCTTGTCTATATTCGCCTTCTAACTTTTGCAACCGCTGTTGGATTTGTCTGTAATCGACTGACAGCATCGAAATCTGTCGTTCCTTTTCTTGCGAATTTAAATCGGCTTTTTGTCGTGCCGATTTTTCTTCATTTAATTTCGTTTGTAGAGCTAGATAAATGAAAATCAAAATAAATAACTTTGAATGTAACAATTTTATGAAAATTTTTATTTTTCCCAAAATAATACTGTAGAAAAAAGAATAAATGGAATGTTTACCAGTTATAATTCGATCCATAAGTTCTGCATGAAATAAATATATACATTTTTTATAAGAATAATTTACAATAAATAAAAAAAATACCTTTGACTACTTCCAGATTCGCCTCTTCCTTATTCATAACTCTACTTCTTTCAGTCTCTTCGTGCGCCTTTACTTCCTGTTGATATCTATTTTTCACGGCTTTTAGTTCTAAATCCAACCCTGCACATTCTTTTTCCAAAAAAGAAACTTTTTCAGTTAACTGGCTGTTGTCGGTTGACGTTTTTAATTCTTTTTGTCGCAGTCGTTCCATCTCGGCATTCAGAGATTGGAATTTGTTCTCTAATACTATTTGCTGATCAGAAGCCTTAAAAAATATAAATATGTGTCTTAATTATGTCATGTGTACCTTTAGATGATAAATAATTAAATGTTCTATATGAAATTACCAACATGTTAGTATAGTTTAACCCAATTTAATACGGAAGTAAAACTTAATCGCATTTTAGAGCTCATTCTATCTAATATTACAGAATGCAACGTAAAAAACGATTCAAATATGAGATACCATTTTAGCCTTAAAAAAATCTCTCTCCTGCCTCAACAACCGGGTTTAATTTTAAAAAAGAAAATTTCCCTAGTCTCTACGAGTCGATTCGTCATTTTTAAGTAATTGTGTTAATGTTAACAAAGCTCTAAATCTATTTTATAATAAATTAACCGTAATATTTGAAAATAATGTACCAAAAAAAGGGTCATCAACAGGCATTACCCTCCTTGGTTTTATTATGAAATTATATATGATCTCAGGAGAAAAAATAAATTTTGAAAAACATATAAAACAACTCACAACAACTGTGACTACAATATTTATAGCCAATTAAAAATAAAACAAAATTAGCTTATGATGACTATGTAAGATTATGCAAAGAAAATATTAATAACGATCCCAAGGCATTCGGATCCTTCATAAATTCTAAAAAAGGTAACTTATCTACAATACCCAGCAGTATGAATTCAAATAACCAATGTTTAAATAGACCTGAGGATATAGTTGAGGGTTTTGCAGCATTCTTTTCGGGTAATTAAACCGAATATGATGCTAATAATAATAAAAACGATTGTTCAATGACATATTTAAATCCTAATATTTACATCGCTGAAGTGACGGAATCTGAAGTTTTTACTGCGTTAAAAACGCTGAAACCTAAATTAACAAACGGTCCTGTGCTTTGATATTTTGTAAGCCATTAACTGTTATTTTTAATCTTATGTTTAAAACTTCGGACTTTCCAGATATCTGAAAGTTGGCCAGAATATGTCCTGTTTTAAAAATGGCAATAAAAATGACATATCAAATTATCGTCCCATTACAATCTTGAATAACTTCTCGAAAGTGTTTGTAATAGTAGCACTTAATTATCTTTCGTTTCAATGCCGTGAAATTATAAATCCATCTCAACATGGCTTTATTTCTGGTCTTTCTACAGTGACAAACTTATTTTGTATAACTCAATTTATATCTGAAGCTATTGATAGGAGAAGTCATGTAGATGTTGTCTACACAGACTTCTTAAAAGCCTTTGATAAAATCGACCACACGATTTTACTATTCAAGCTATCTGCATTAGGTGTTAATAATTATTTATTAAATCTCTTTCAGTCGTATTTGTGTAATCACTATCTCTGTTTAATGTTTCAGATACAAATCCTTGAAGTACATTCAAACTTCCGGCGTTCCTCAAGGCTCCGTTGTAGGACCATTGTTATTTGTACTTTTTATTAATAATATTATATAATAATAATCATCATCATTTGTTTCTGTAGACCTGTATACATAGGTATAGAAAGCGTCACATACAATTTACAAACAAGACAAAAATGTAAGAGTAAAAACAAACTTATATATAATTGGTTACAAACAATACATTTAAAACAAACATTTAAGTAAAATTACAGTTTAGGTATTCCTCAACACTATAAAAAGTGTGAATTAGTAAGACCTCTGTTACTCGGGTTTTGAAAGCTTTAACATCATTTATGCATTTTATGTTATCCGGAAGTTTGTTGTAAAGCTTGATTGCTGTAATTAGAGGTCCTTTACTTGCCATAACTAATTTATGTCTAGGTATAATGATATTTTGTGCATTTCTTAAATTGTACCCGCTATTAATAGAAATATCACCTCTACAAAGAAAATTCTGATGATTAGACCTTACATATAACACACATTTTAAAATATAAATGGAAATAACAGTTAAAATTCTTAAGTCTTTAAAAAGTTGTCTGCATGAGAATTGTCTATTTTTGAAAGACATGGTTCTTTTAGCCTTTTTTTGTAACACAAGTATGTCATTTATTCTATTACAATTTCCCCAGCATAATATGCAGTAATTCAAAATCGAGTGAATTTGAGCGAAATAATACATTTTCAGGATATCTACTGAAATGAAATGTCTTAGCTGCCAAAGGACATAACAGTAAGTGGCTAATTTAGATGTGATATGGTCAACATGAAAATCCCAAGAAATATTACAATCAAAATGAACTCCTAAAAACTTGACACATCTACTTTGAGTTATAGATGTACCATTGTGGCAGACCAGTAAACTATAATTTAACTCTCTTGAGGAAAATAATAACATATTTGTTTTATTAACATTTAAAAATAGCCCATTGTTGTCACAATAACTACTCATAGTTTCGACAGCCATGTTAGCTCGATTTCGTAACAAAAGAGTATCTTTACTTATAATACTAAATGATGTATCATCAGCAAATTGAGTGATAAAAATATTAGAACTGGCTAAGTAATTAATAAAAAGAAGAAAAAGAGCAGGACCTATAACACTACCTTGTGGTACACCGGAACTGACTTTTCGAGAAGTTGATAGATTTTTTAATGAATTTGAATTAAATAGGGATCTGTTGTTAAAAAAAGATTTTATCCACATCAGAGCAGGGCCCCTGATATCATACAACTCAAGTTTATGAAAAAGTAATTCTTGATTGAATGTCTCAAAGGCTCGAGAAAGATCAAAAAACAAAGTTAAACATTTATTATTTTTATCAAAAGTTTCTAGGATATGATTTGTAATGAAGTCAATTTTTCCTCAAGTTTATTTTCATTTTTCATTTTTAATAAATATTAAACACGATTAAACTGTTGGTTCTAAGTTGATTTACATGCGCGAACGCCGATCGAGTATCGTGCGCGGTGGGTCTGAGCGTAGGTGGGGTTTCTGATGGGGAAAGGGATTCAAGTAGTTGAACGAGACCCGAGATGCTATTAAAATTATCAGTTCTATAAAATATTTGATTGCCACCAGTCGAGACTAAGAAGCCGCAGCACAAATCAAATCACCGCCGATAATTTTTTTTATCTCGTATTTACAAATCCGTTAGGTAAAAAAAAACCTCGTTCCGCTGTTTACGTTTTATATTGAGACCGTATTTCATTTTAAAAACCGAATTTGCTTCTAGGTATGGGAATATTTTCATTCAGTGTTTAGTTAAAAGATTTAATTTGATTTCATTAATAAATAATAGAATTTGTTTCTTGACAAATAATACCGTTTCTTTTTTTTATAGATAGTGTTGAGTTAAAAGACTTTAATTTGATTTCATTAATAAATATTTGAATTTATTTCTTGGCAAATATAATACCCTTTCTTTAAAAGGAATAGAATTTGACTTAAATAATAAATGATAGGATTTGATTCTGTAATATTGTAAAACCGGGATTTAGACTTTTGATCGTTAGTCTGTATTAGGAAATTAATTTTTTTTCTTTGGTAGATTAAATCGGGAATTTATTTTATTTAGTAAGTGCCGCGTTTTCGAGGAGACGTTTTCCCTCTTTTAATAGTTTGTTTATTCTTTTACCGTATATTTGAATAATCTTAAATAGCATCCTGTCCTTGTCTGAACGGGCTCGTGATGACGATCAGTTCACTCTTGGAGTAGGTACTATCCGCATTAGTAATTTTCTTCCCTACGATAATAGTTTGTTTTTCTCTTTCACCGTCCATTTAAATAACTTTAAATAGTATCCTGTCCCTGTCTGAACGGGCTCGTGATGATGATCAGTTCATTCTTGGATTAGGTGCTATCCGCGTTAGTTTTCTTTTCCCTTTATATTCTTCATTTTTTTCGTGCAAACTGCAACTTGCAGAAATCAAAAATAGCTTCATTACCCTGTCTGAGTGGACTCGTGATGACGATCAGCTCATTCTGGGATAATAGGCTACCCCGGGTATAAATTTATTTTTATTTTCTTTCCGTATATTTACTGTAAGTAATTCTTTCGCGTCCCTGTCTCCTCGCACTCTCTATGACCGTTTAGCTAATTTTTCCTTACCTAAATAGTGAAATACCTACATTTTAGTTTAATTCCCGATACCACAGTTAAACAGTTAATTACCGAGTAAATAGCCAAGTCGATAATTTTTTTTCTCTGCGACCGAAACATACATTTTATTTTAATTTAATTTTGACGTCTGATTGAGACTAGTCGCGATTCAATACCGTCCGTTTTGTTTTTTTTTTATTCTGGGTTAGGGAGCGTTCAAGTATTACGTAACGAATTTGGGGGGAGGGGGGTTTTTGTAAAACGTTACGATGCGTTACAGGAGCGTTTGAACTACGCGTTACGCAACATTATTATTTTTTAACCCTTCAGAAAAGTCACGTAGAGAGTTTCTCTCACGCATTTTTTAAAACGTTTTTTTTTTCAAAATTTCAAGTCACCATTTGATCTTTTTTTACCTTCACAAACACGTTACGACGCGTTACATGGGGGGAGGGGGGGGTTAAAAATCTCCAAAAATTGCGTTACGTAATACTTGAACGCTCCCTTATATATATCACAACTGGGGTGGGCGTTGAAATAGATAATTTTTTTTTATGTTGTAAATAGTTATTCACAATATATGTGTCAATGTTAACTTGCCGTATTACTGGTTAATAATTCCCTACTTTATTTCCCCCTTATATTTCAGCTAGTGATAAATTCTGTACGAGCCCAAGCAACGATTAAAGCCCGTTACTTGTGGCCTACTATTACCTGTGTCTAAGTGACCTTTGACCCCTGGAATTTTTCATCTCCATCTGTAGCTACCCGAGTACTTTCGACGCCGTTTCGAAAGTTTGTGGAGTAAACCAACATCAAAAATCTGGCGCTCGAGAACCGCCCGTAATCAGCGTCATTCGTAAGGAACCGTTTTCTCTGTGGCGAGAAAACCCCTTACAGATTGAATAATGTAAGAGTTGCATCTTGAGTAAAGAGACCTTTTTGGAAACCGAACTGATAAGGATTTAAAATGCTGAACGTGTTAATATAATTTACTAGCCTGGTTTGGAATGCTT